TGGGTGAAAACATCTTTAAAAAAACAATGCAGGGCCCTCATTAAAATGAATACACACAGTGTGAATCTGCTGGACAGATAAATAAGTAAATTATTATTATAACTTCACATTCTATTCTCCACGTCAATGATCCTGGGGTGGTGTGGAAGCAGTGGCGAATTCCCTCCTTGGGACCCGAAACGTTGGTATTGTATTGGTATTGTATTGGTATTGTATTGGTATTGTATTGGTATTGTATTGGTGTTATATTGGTATTGTATTGATATTGTATTAGTATATTGGTATTACATTGGTATTGTATTGGTATTATATTGGTATTATATTGGTATTGTATTGGTATTGTATTGTATTGGTATTGTATTGGTATTGTATCGGTATTGGTTTAGTATTCACCGTTAAGAAAGTGACATGTGTTGTGTAATTATTCATTGCCGGCCCGATTTTAAAATCTTTGGAAATTCAGGACTGCCCTGTCTCCCGTACCTAGGGAAGTTTCTAGATCCGCTTCTGTGTGGCGTGAGGTGGGGGGGGAGTAGCCGTGCTAAATAAATGAGGGGGTACGGTCGATTCAAATAACTATTCAACTATTTTTTTTTATTTTGCCAGGTAAGGCCCACTGAGCTCTGTAGCTCTTGTTCAGAAGCAACTTGGCCACACAAATGATAACTCAACGAAGTTGATTATCATCACGTGGAAATGTATCACGGACAAATACTCTAAACGCACGATGTTGATTCTAAATGTGGAGGTAAAACCCGCAGGACTCGGAGCAAAATCCACGCGACCACGGTGAGAGAGAGAGAGAGACTCGCAAACTCCAACTACACAGCAGCAGCAGCAGCAGGCATCGTCAGGCTCTGGATCGAACCCACGACCTCCTGCACACCAGGCGAGGTAGTTAACATCTCGTAGCCACCCGTGGCTTGCTCCCCGTGCTGTCACGCCGAACCCGCCCCGTGTGACTGAACACATCCATCCCTGCCGAGGGGCATCAACGGAGTATATTGCAGCACACGCAGCAGGACGACGATATCAGAAGACACCGCGCCGACCACTCGGCCACGGTCAGCAGTCACGACCTCCAACACAACGCGATTCGCGACGTGTCCCGTCATTTGCCCTTTCACACAGCCCCTATGCTACCGCGCATTCATGCACCGCCGGTGTACACCTGCCTACACACACGTACACACACACACACACGTACACACACGTACACACACCCACGTACACACACACACACGTACACACACACGTACACACACACGTACACACACACACACGTACACACACACGTACACACACACACACGTACACACACACACGTACACACACACGTACACACACACGTACACACACACACGTACACACACACGTACACACACACACACACGTACACACACACGTACACACACGTACACACACGCACACGTACACACACACGTACACACACACACGTACACACACACGTACACACACACGTACACACACACACGTACACACACACACGTACACACACACGTACACACACACGTACACACACACACACACGTACACACACACACGTACACACACACACGTACACACACGCACGCACACGCGCGCGTGATTGACCATGCATCGTCGTTTTACAAGGATGTGCATTTAAAGTGAGTGAAAGGCAAGTGTCTTAAATTGTCAGGTGGAGCGTGGCGAGGTAAAGTGTGTGGGGGGGGGGGGGGGGGGTACCCGCACCCTCTCCCCGGGCGTTGGAAGAGTAGACCAAGTTACCCCCTAAAATTACTCTCCGAGCGCCCCCTCGAGGGGTGGCTCTTCCGCCATCAGCGGCGTGAGTAAGCAACTGCAGGGGCCGCGCCTTTGTAACTTTCTAGCATTCACACGAGACGGGCTGAAATTAGCGTCACGCACGCAGACCAGCGACACAAACCTCTTCTACACAACACGTGCCGCCTCTACACAACACGTGCCGCCTATACACAACACGTGCTGCCTCTACACAACACGTGTTGCTTCTACACAACACGTGCTGCCTCTACACAACACGTGCCGGGTCTACACAACACGTGCTGCCTCTACACAACACGTGCCGCCTCTACACAACACGTGCCGCCTCTACACAACACGTGCCGCCTCTACACAACACGTGCCGCCTCTACACAACACGTGCCGCCTCTACACAACACGTGCTGCCTCTACACAACACGTGCTGCCTCTACACAACACGTGCCGGGTCTACACAACACGTGCTGCCTCTACACAACACGTGCCGCCTCTACACAACATGTGCCGCCTCTACACAACACGTGCCGCCTCTACACAACACGTGCCGCCTCTACACAACACGTGCCGCCTCTACACAACACGTGCTGCCTCTACACAACACGTGCCGCCTCTACACAACACGTGCTGCCTCTACACAACACGTGCCGGGTCTACACAACACGTGCTGCCTCTACACAACACGTGCCGCCTCTACACAACACGTGATGACTCTACACAACACGTGCTAGCTCTACACAACACGTGCTGCCTCTACATAACACGTGCCGCATCTACACAACACGTGTCGCATCTACACAACACGTGCTGCTTCTACACAATACGTGCTAGCTCTACACAACACGTGCCGGGTCTACACAACACGTGCCGCTTCTACACAACACGTGATGGCTCTACACAACAAGTGCTACCTCTACACAACACGTGCTACCTCTACACAACACGTGCTGGGTCCTACACAACACATGCTGCTTCTACACAACACGTGCCGGGTCTACACAACACGTGCTGGGTCTACACAACAAGTGCCGGGTCTACACAACACGTGCTGGGTCTACACAACACGTTCCGCCTCTACACAACACGTGCTGGGTCTACACAACACGTGCCGGGTCTACACAACACGTGCTGCCTCTACACAGCACGTGCTGTCTCTACACAACACGTGCCACCTCTACACAACACGTGTTGCCTCTACACAACACGTGCTGGGTCTACACAACACGTGCCGCCTCTACACAACACGTGCTGCATCTACACAACACGTGCCGGGTCTACACAACATGTGCTGCTTCTACACAATACGTGCCGGGTCTACACAACACGTGCTGGGTCTACACAACACGTGCCGGGTCTACACAACACGTGCTGGGTCTACACAACACGTTCCGCCTCTACACAACACGTGCTGGGTCTACACAACACGTGCCGGGTCTACACAACACGTGCTGCCTCTACACAGCACGTGCTGTCTCTACACAACACGTGCCGCCTCTACACAACACGTGTTGCCTCTACACAACACGTGCTGGGTCTACACAACACATTCCGCCTCTACACAACACGTGCTGCCTCTACACAACACGTGCTGCCTCTACACAACACGTGCCGCCTCTACACAACACGTGCTGCATCTACACAACACGTGCCGGGTCTACACAATACGTGCTGCCTCTACACAACACGTGCCGCCTCTACACAACACGTGCCGCCTCTACACAACACGTGCTGCCTCTACACAACACGTGCCGCCTCTACACAACACGTGCCGCCTCTACACAACACGTGCCGCCTCTACGCAACACGTGCCGCCTCTACACAACACGTGCTAGCTCTACACAACACGTGCTACCTCTACACAACACGTGCTGCCTCTACACAACACGTGCCGTGTATACACAACACGTGCAGCCTCTACACAACACGCGCTGCCTCTACACAACACGTGCCGCCTCTACACAACACGTGCCGCCTCTACACAACACGTGCCGCCTCCACACAACACGTGCTGCCTCTACACAATACGTGCTGCCTCTACACAACACGTGCCGCCTCTACACAACACGTGCTGCCTCTACACAATACGTGCTGCCTCTACACAACACGTGCCGCCTCTACACAACACGTGCTGCCTCTACACAACACGTGCCGCCTCTACACAACACGTGCTGCCTCTACACAACACGTGCTACCTCTACACAACACGTGCTGCCTCTACACAACACGTGCTGCCTCTACACAACACGTGCCGGGTCTACACAACACGTGCTGCCTCTACACAATACGTGCTGCCTCTACACAACACGTGCTGCCTCTACACAACACGTGCCGCCTTTACACAACACGTGCCGCCTCTACACAACACGTGCCGCCTCTACACAACACGTGCCGCCTCTACACAACACGTGCTGCCTCTACACAACACGTGCCGCCTCTACACAACACGTGCCGCCTCTACACAACACGTGCTACCTCTACACAACACGTGCTGCCTCTACACAACACGTGCCGCCTCTACACAACACGTGCCGCCTCTACACAACAGGTGCCGCCTCTACACAACACGTGCCGCCTCTACACAACACGTGCTGCCTCTACACAATACGTGCTAGCTCTACACAACACGTCCTACCTCTACACAACACGTGCTGCCTCTACACAACACGTGCCGCATCTACACAACACGTGGCTCCTGCAGGTGCGCGCGTGCATTCTCTGAACCATTTGTCTTGCCGCCGCTGCTGCTGCAGCGTGCACACCACCACCACCACCCCCACGCCTAATCGGTGCTCCAACTTTAGTGAGGGAACACAGCACACGACACGTACCACACACGACACGCACCACACAGCACACGACACGCACCACACACGCACCACACAGCACACGACACGCACCACACACGCACCACACAGCACACGACACGCACCACACAGCACACGACACGCACCACACAGCACACGACACGCACCACACAGCACACGACACGCACCACACACAACACGACACGCACCACACAGCACACGCACCACACAGCACACGACACGCACCACACAGCACACGACACGCACCACACAGCACCACACAGCACACGACACGCACAGCACACGACACGCACCACACAGCACACGACACGCACCACACAGCACACGACACGCACCACACAGCACACGACACGTGTAATAAAAACACAACGACGGGAATGCGATTGCCGAGTTTACCTTCCAGTCGGCCCGGGCGGCTTTGAAGGTGGGAGGCTGCGGTGTCTTTGACTGACTGCGAGACCTTGGGGGGCACGAAGTGGCAGAGTCTTGCCCACCGACTTGAGAGCGTGGCGGTGAGGACGGCGGGCAGGACGGCGGCTCGGGCGCTTAACGCGGACACGGGCGAGGGGTCCGCCGTGGAGACCGCGCGAGCGTCCCCGTCTCGCCACCCCGGCACTGGCGTGCTCCTAGTGGGGGCCACGCGTAAAGCTCCGCGTTGTCACCACCGCCAAACAAAAACAAAGATCCCCCGTATAGCCTTAACAGACTGTGGGAGCAAGTGCTGTTAGCGAGTAGCTATGAAGGCCGGCACGGCACGCGGAGGGGGTGGGTGGCCAGCACCACGCCCGGCCGCCTTTGTCTCCCCAGTGGCGATGTTTACACACCGCCCCAAGTACTCAGTTGGGGCTGAGTCGAGAGGCTGAGTCGACCTAGGGGATGCCCAGGACCGGTTCAGATGATCGTCACTGGTGTTGGCCGTGAGCGGGAATCGAACCCGGGTCGCCAGGTTCAAAGTGCACCACCGCTCCCCACACACAATCTCACACACACACAATCTCACACACACAAAATCACACACAATCTCTCACACACAATCACCACACACACACACACAATCTCACACACAATCACACACACAATCTCACACACACACAATCTCACACACAATCACACACACAATCTCACACACACACAATCACACACAATCTCACACATAATCAAAGACAATCTCACACGCACAATCTCTCACACACAATCTCACACACACAATCTCACACGCACAATCTCACACACACAATCTCAAACACACACGCACAATCTCACACACACACAAGCTCACACAATCTCACACACACAATCACACACACAATCACACACAATCTCACACACACACACAATCACACACAATCTCTCACACACACACAATCACACACAATCTCACACAGACACAATCACACACACAATCTCACACACACAATATCACACACAATCACACACACACACAATCACACACAATCTCACACACACAATCTCACACACACAATCAGCACATAATGTCACGCAAAATCTCACACATAATCTCATACACACACAATCACACACAATCTCACACACACACAATCTCTCACACACACACAATCACACACAATCTCACACAGACACAATCACACACACAATCTCACACACACAATATCACACACAATCTCACACACACACAATCACACACAATCTCACACACACAATCTCACACACACAATCAACACGTAATGTCACGCACAATCTCACACACAATCTCATACACACACAATCATACAATCTCACACACACACAATCTCACACACACAATCACCACACACAATCTCACACACACAATCACCACACACAATCTCACACACACAATCACCACACACAATCTCACACACACAATCACACACAATCTTACACACACACAATCTCACACACACAATCACCACCCACAATCTCACACACACAATAACCACACACAATCTCACACACACAATCACCACACACAATCTCACACACACATAATCAAAGACAATCTCACACGCACAATCTCTCACACACACAAGCCCACACAATCTCACAACAACAACAACAACCGCCATTCGCCACTAAGTGGCGGTGACATCACCACGACGCTTGTGCCAGGCTATGTGCACCCTGAGGCCACGTGAAGTGTCGAACGCCCGCTGGCAGGAGGTCACGGGGCAGACCCAGGTGCCACGGGTCGACTGACTGAGATGACTGGCTGATGCACCACCTATGCCCCCTACTGTGCCAATCTGCTGTGCTTTAGCCACCCGGCGCTCCGCTCGTTGTTCTGAGCGTCGCTCCTCCGCCCTCCGTTGTTGTTGGAGGGCGACAACCTCCAACTGCCCAGTAGCAACCTTCACGAGCCTCCTCCACAGAGGCCGATCTTGACACCGCTGGTACCAGTCATCGGCAAGTCCACTCAGCTCCACGTCCTCCTGTACCACATCACTCCATCTCTTCTCTAGCCCGTGCCGCGCCCGCTTAGCCCCCTCAATCCGGCCGAACAAAAGCTGTTTCGGCATGCGGTGGCTGGGCATGCGGGCTACATGACCCAGCCATCGCAGCCTTGCCCGCCGGAGGAGCTCACCGATGGGACCTTGCCCAGATCTTTCAAGGATTTGTGAGCTCCTCACACAGTCCAGTCTGGTTAAACCCAGGATGGATCGTAGGCAGGCCAGCCTAAATGTTTCTAACCGGCGAAGATGTTCCATTAGGGGGGTCCACATTTCGCAAGCATAGAGAAGTGAGGGAATGACCGTGGCCGAGAAGACCTGAAGCTTAGTGCGGAGCGACAGACCAGGTAGCTTCCACACAGCGTTACGCAACCGATGAAAAGATATTGCCGCTCGACTGATTCGGAGTGAGATCTCCGCTGTTAAACTGGAGCCGGTCATAAGCACACTGCCCAGGTATGGGAAACTCTCCACTCTCTCCACAACTGCCCCATCACCGATTGGGAGTTGTGGGGGTGGAGTGTCCTGTTGGATATGAGCAGTCCGATGGTACAAAATACCCAGGCAGGTGCTTAGTTTTGGTGGGACTGATGGTAAGACCCCATCTCTTAGTGGCACGCTCCAGTCTCAGCAGCAGCATCTCCAACTCCTCCTCTGAATGAGCAGCTATTACCAAATCATCAGCATACATAACGTGGTTGAGCAATAGGGAGCCATCCCCCGGTACAACTATTGGAGGCTTCACAAACTACGTGGTCAAAATAGATGTTAAATAATGTGGGAGCCAGAGGACATCCCTGTCGCACCCCAAGGTGTACAGGGATGGCTCTGACTCCCGGTTACATAGTTTTACCCGTGCCCGCTCACCATCATGAAGGTCCTTAATGATCGTGAGCAGAGGGTCAAGGACTCCAAAAACACGAAGAACAGCCCAGAGCCCAGGCCTACTGATAGTAGCATAGGCCTTGACCAGGTCAATAAAACAGAGATGTAGGTCTTGTTGGAATTCCCTGCTGTAGCAGACGGACAGAAATATGGCATCTGTGCAGGACCGCCCTTTCCTGAAACCGCATTGGGGCTCCGCAAGCCTCTCCTCAGCGTGCCTGGCAAGGCGATGTTGAATAATCCTTGCCAGGACCTTTCCCGGCACACTGAGGAGTGAGATGCCCCTGTAGTTGTTACAATCTGTGCGGTCGCCCTTCTTAAAGAGAGGGACCAACAGGGCATCCTTCCAATCCTGCGGAACCCGTCCAGTGGTCCAGACTGTTGTTATGATGTCATATAGGGCAGTCTGTGCACAAACTCCACCCTCCCTCAGAATTTTGCTTGGGAGATCATCTCTACTCGGTGCCTTCACTGGTCTCAGACTCTGGATCGCCTTCAGTACTTCCTTAAAAGATGGCACCTCAGCCAGCCACTCACAGGGGGTGACTTCTTCCAATATTTTAGGCACTGCAGCCTCAGCAGGGTCATCCCCACTTTGTGCCACGATGTTTTCCTGGCTGAGGGATTTCCCCTCCCCCAGGACCTCACAGAAATGCTCAGCAAATCTGCAAACCTGTTCCTGGGGGTCAGAGATTGGATCACCGTTTTTTCCCCTAATGATGGTAATAGGTGTGGCGCTGTAGGTTACTTTTTTGATGGAGTTAAATAGAGATTTGTGATCGCGGGCCACTGAGGCAGACTCCATCTCCTCAGCAACCCGCGACCACCACCCATCCTTGCAGCACCTCATGGCTCTCCGAACCTCCGAGCGAAGGCTGCGGTAAGCCTCCTCATTCTCTGACGTGGGATTCTGTAGCAAATGACAGTGGGCCTGTCGCTTTTTCTCAACTATCCTGAACACCTCCTCTGTCAACCAGGGTCTCTTGGGAGGTCTCGACCACGTACCCAAAGCGGCCATTGCAGCTGCATGAGTCAAAGTCCAAAACCTCGCCCATTTACCCTCGACATCAGGAGGAGTGGGGGACGATGCCAACCCCAGCCGCAAGCGATGATGAAATTCTCGCTTGCAACTTTCATCAGATAACTGAGACCAGGCCACTTTAGGTTGGAATGGGGTCCTGGGTGTACACCCACCACCGGAGTGGAAGAATGGCAGGCGCATCTTATAGACGATTAGTCGATGGTCAGAGGGCAGATCAGCTCCACGGTAGGTCCTGGTGTCAAGGACATGGGCTCGCATCCGCTGGTCCGTCACTATGTAGTCCAGCAGATGTTCTTGCTTGGACCCGGCATGCATCCATGATGTTGTATGGATGCGCCGATGCCGGAACAACGTGTTGGTAATGACAAGCCCATGGGCTGCACAAAAATATAGCAGCCTCCTACCGTTGTTATTGAGCTGATCTGGCCCATGCCTTCCAATCACTCCAGACCAGGTGCCAGCATCATGACCAACTCGGGCATTGAAGTCACCCAACAAGATGACTCTATCCCGAGGGGCCACTTTAACCAGCACTTGTGACAGGAGGTCATAGAAGGCATCTGACTCATCGGCTTTGCCTGCATCCCTCCACGGATGTTTGTCTTCAGTGGGGGCATAAATAACCACGACCACCACTCTTCACCTCCGGTTGATGGGAAGGCGAGCCCAAAGTAGCCTAGGGCTTACAGCTTCCCACACCTCACCGCCACGCTCCCACGCCCCCTTCATTCTTTTGTTCAAAAGAAGAACCACACCCTGTTGTTTGGCAGGATGCTGCCCCGAGTAGAGAACTGTCCACCCCTCATGGTGGCAGGAGCCAGAACCGGTCCACCGGACCTCCTGAATGCCACAGAGATCCAGGCGGTACCGGTCCAGCTCCCGACAGAGGAGTGGCAGCCTCTCCTCTGCAGTGAGCGTTCAAACATCCCACGTGGCCACACGAAGTGGCTTTTCGTTGTTTCTGGAGGAGCCCCGAGGATAGAGATTCAATCTCCTGGCTCCGCCAATTGGGGTTTGGCCTGTCCCCCCGGGGCCTCCGGCACAAGCTTATTAGTTACATAGTTTAGTCCTGGTTAAGTGGTACATTTTTGAAGGTGGAGGGGTTACCAGCCCCTCGCACCCGTCCAGAGCCCCCGTTTAGCCACTGTGGTGGTCACAGACGCCATGAGGGGAGGAGCCAATCGGAATTTGCCCTCTCCCCACAGCACTGTCCACGACAGAGTTGCCCGTCCGGAACCGCGAGGAGGTAGGGGGTTGTTTTTGC